CTCTCTCTCTCTCTCTCTCTCTCTCTCTCTCTCTCTCTCTCACACACACACACACACACACACACACACACACACACACGACAGGAAACCAACAGGTATGGTGTTGCATACCCATAATCCCAGCACTCAGAGGCTGAGGCAGGAGGATGATAAGTTCCAGGTCAGCCTGGACTATAGAGCAGTCAGTCAGTTTTTTGTTTGTTTGATTTTGTTGTTCTTGTTTGATTTTTTTTAAAAAATTGACTTAAAACCTGTAATCCTAGCACTTGGAAGGTGGAGACATGAGATTCTGAGTTTAATACTAGCCTCAGATTCACAGCAATGTTGAGGCCAGCCTGGGTCACATGAGGCTCTTTCTCAAAAATATAAATAAAATAAAACTGCAAGCAGCCATCTTTAAAACCAGCAACAGTAGTCAGAAAAATAAATCAATTGTTGAACAATTTGTTTACATATTTTTCCTGATACATCATATGAGCATACATGGAAGCTGTCAGTTCAGGTTCCATTTTCAAAGCATAATCATAAGCAATAAAATTTGTGGAACGTAGTTGAGTCCTATGTAAATCTCCCAGGTGTCTCTCTTCCTCTAGCTATTCAAATTACTGTCTCATTCTCCTTGGCAGTATGCTTTGGCCTTTGGTCTTTATCTTGTGGACCTTCCTCTCATCTCGGACTGCCATCTCTCCACGTGGATGAGTCGGCAGACAGAACTGCTCTCCTTCTGAAGCCTGCTTGCTTTGCAACTCTGACAACTGCACTTCGCCATCGAGTTTTACGTTATTTGCACTGCATTATTCTGTTATAGCCAGACAAGGACAGAGTGAGCAATGGACCGAGACTTGACCCAGTGGGCAGGGGTACAGGGTTAGCCCTAAAAGGAAGGAATGTGTGGTCAGTTTATCAGTGATTAAATCTACCTCACCATGACTTTAGCTGTGGATTACGGAGACCATTAGCTGTCCACCACATCCATTCTTCCTTCTTTTTTCTTTTTATCTTAAAAAGTATATGTTAAATGTATTTTTTCTTTTCTTTTTTTAATTAAAAAATTATTCATTTTACATAACAACCACAGATCCCCCACCTCATCCCTCCTCCCGCTCCCCCCACTCCTGTCTAACCCCCCCCCCCATTCAACCCTCATCCCCTCCTCCAAAAAGGTAAGTTCTCCCATGGGGGGGGCACAGCAAAGCCTGATATATTCAGTTGAGGCAGGAACAAGCCCCTCCCCCTGCATCAAGGGTGAGCAAATTGTCCCATCATTAGTAATGGGATCCAGAAAGCTGGCTCATGCACCAGGAGCCCCACCCCTTTTTCAGGGTCTAACTTTGCAGTCCTGGCTGGACTTGAACTCACAGCCATCTGCCTACTTCAGTCTCCTGAGTGCTGGGATTATAGACATGTACCACCATGCTTGGCCATTCTTGCTTCTTGAAGCAATAAACAAGACGGCATTTATCTACTATTTGATGTGCTGGGGCCTTGTAACTTGGTGGACAGCAATGA